ACTAATGAAGATACTCAACTAATGAAGAAACTAATAAACCTCAAACTAATGAATACAGTTAAATTGGTGGAAATTTTGCTTGGAATATTTTCCATGAAATATTTTACTCAGTAACGAAAAAAATTGAGAATTTTGCTATTCAGATTTTTAGTAGCGGGACGCAAGCAATTTTATTATTTGGTATTTAATAGCATTCGGTTTTTATTTAACTAGCACCAACAATTTTTAGTTTATCGTAGTTTAACAGATAGTTTACTCAAGTTTTATTTGTTGAACTTATAAATATATTTCTGTCAGAATATCGATAACTCAGGTTAGTTTGGCGTAAATAAAAGAGAAATAATCTCTAAAAATTCTCGCCTTCAATGATTTTGTAGAAAATATATGCTTCTTAAAGATTATTGAGAATCAATAAATTGAAAACTAATATTTTTTACACTGAATAAAAGTAAGCATTTTTGGTGTTGATATATCGGCACTGGTTGTAAGGATTTCGAAATGTCTGTGCAACAAATAAAATGAGGTACGTTCCTTATAAAGTAAAGTTAAAAAAAATTACTGTAAAAATATGTTAGTTATTGAATAGTCATATTTAACTGATGTGGCTGGTTTGAGCTGTAATACTCTTTAAAAATATTTATAATGTTTCATCATGTTATTGCTTTAATTTGATCTATAATAATCTCTTTAAAGTATTAATACATTTTTTTTTATAAGTTACAGTTTTAATTTGAATAAAAGAGGCACAGTATAAAAGGTGTAAAATATTAAAATAACCGATTAACGTTTGTGGATAATGCTTTTAACTTGCTTTTCTGTGGAATTATGTAATAAAAATAATATAAAAACATTGCAGAGATTTGAATTACTAACGCAATTAAAGCTTCACAATGTATGAGCTAATCTTTCTTTCTCGTCCTAAATTTGGTAATCTCATGATCACTAAGAAATAGTAAATAAATTTTTGCGTTATTGTTAGCGTAAAACAAATGCTATGCAAAATCCATCTGTTATATCGCAAAATACGTCATTATATAAGAAAATTGGAACATTTATTAAGATTTTAAAAAATTGAACCATGCTCATTCAAATAAGAATACACGAACAAATACACGAAGAAAGGATTCTCTACAAATTACCGTTCTGTATGGTAAAGGCATTTCTGACATAAAAAAAGACAACAACCCATAATTCTGGTAATAAAATCCAAATATATGGTATTTAAACGATTCGTATGGTAGCGGTTTCCCGGAACTTCTAGTTTTCACAATTATAGCTTTTATTATGACACATTTGGGAAAAATGCAAAACTGTGAAAAGTAAACGTAACCAAATAAATAGTTCTTAGGTATCAAGACAAAATTGCCAAATTTTACTAAATTTCAAAATATATTATAAAATAAAATTTAAATATTAATTTTCTCAAAAGCATAACATTTCAGTGAAAATTACCGTACTTTTTTGTGTCGAAAACGTGGTAAATTGTTTATATTATTCTGATAGTTTTAACCATAAATTTCTTTTTTTTTAGTTTATCAATGTAGGATAGTAAAATATTTGCATTAATACTGTTACTTACCTTTATCAACATTAGACATTTTTTTTACAATAGTTGATAAATATTTAAATGATAATTTGTTTGTTGTTTATCCTTTGGAAAGATAAGCAAACAGAAATTAATACAGATTGATAGTTTTTAACGATAGGATTATTATATATATTGGGAATTTTTGAAAACTGTCATGTGGGTATCGTACATATACATATGGATATCGTACATTTGGGTATCGTACATTTAAGCATGCAAGAACACTAATCAAATCGATTATCGATTCTGAATATTTTTATCTCAGTTATTTTGATCTTAGTTTATCGCTGATATTTTGTGTTCAGGTCTTGGAAAATCAAGATTAAACTAAATTTAAATTTATAAGGTTAAATAAATTAAATATATATATATAATATCTAAAATACTAGCTTAATAAAATTAAAAGGATCTTTCGAGACTAAACTTAAAAAGAATTATAATTTATCTACAGATAAGCTTATCTGCTTTCTGAGAACATTAAATTTCTCTTTCACATACTTAACTTAGCTCTTCGCGTACATAGTAAGTTCTGTTGAATAGCGATGAAATCTTTATTTATACGATCAAAATTATTAATCTTTATATAATACGATCAAAATGAATCCACACCGCGCAGTAAAATATCTTAAAGAAGCCGAATTCCCATTTAAGTCCCGAACTATGTTGATATATTAATTCATCTCCATCTGGTCTTCAGATCTTACGGCACGCCGCTTCTAACAAGGAAGATATAAACAAAAGAGGTCTGGATGGATTTTATACATCACATGACATGAACATATGATACGTTAAAAAAGTGTACACTATTTTTTGGAAATGGAAGGATAAAGATGTGTCTCGGAGCTCTGCTCCAATTTGTACATAATTTGTAAACATAATTTCTTATTCTTTCCTTCAATAAAAGCATAGAAAATTCATTATGTTGTCACCTTTATAGAAAAGGATATTAAAAATAATTAAAAAATTACTGCAACAGAAGAACTATTAGTATATATATATATATATTATAAGTATTGA